GTGAGTTGACTATATAATCAGATATTCTAGTTATTTATTAGCACTTTTATTTTTATATAAAATTTTAATCTTTGATATTATTCACGCGAAAAATGAAGAAATTAAATCAAGGAAAAATATTTAAAAATTATTTTCCTCACAACATTATTTTTGCTATCTGCTTATTGTTTTTCATAAAAGGCCATGGCTTTTCTAATGGCTTTCCTGTTTGCTGCCACTAATGTTGAGGGCTGGTGTGAGCTATTTATGTAAAAGAGACTCAAAGTTATTTGATAGCAGTGTTGAACAGAAATAGGAGTAACCTGATTCGGGTGTTCAAAATCATTAGGGGCTTGATTAAAGTATCCCATGGGAAGTTTCTTGGAGTGATAGAAGGATAACATTAGAGATTAAATTCTAGATATTAGAGGAAATAAACATTACCTTATGAAACCCAAGTTCAGGTTGGTCATTAGACAAAATGTTTTCCCTGCTGTAGTTGCTAATATGTGGAATGGAATGGTTTATCAGATGATGATGTGTATACTAATTTAGAGAACTTACGAGTGTTTGTTCATTTAAGGTTATGCAGAAAATACACAATGGACTAGCTTGGTTATCAAAACCTGATATTAGCATTATAAACCCTCTGACATAGTGCTAAGTCATTTTGGGGGGCAACTTATGAGTGAAAGCAAAGAAGAATATCTAATAATGTGTTAATGATATCATATCTGCCATATCCAGTACCTACAAAGTCTTCCAACCATGATTCATCAGACTGGTTGGGATATACCAGACACAGTAGTGGTTTAGGCACTATTAGTACTAATATCATCAGTTGCATGAACAACACAGTTATGGTGTGAATTAAATTAAATGTAATTATTATATTTTATTTACATGACTTCCAAATAGTTTGTAGCAGTATCACTAATATGCAAGACCTTAGGAATTCATTTTAGAAGGCAGAACATTTAATACTGGAGGGGTGGCAATATCTATAACCAGTAACAACTATGCTGTCAACCAGCCAGGCTTGAACCCTTGCCAACAGAAAACCCCAACCATTGTATCTCTGTTGTTTCTGCTTAGAAATTACTGCCAATTTAAGGATATTGGAGTATGGTAGCAGGCCAGGAAATTTGCCATTTTTTAAGACAAGGCCATTTAGCCTTGGATTTTCTTTCATTTTCAAGGGTGCCAAGGCCAAAAAAAAATTCACTGGAGGGCACCAAGGCCACAGTACACATTAATGTTAACAGAACAGAAATGAGTTTCCTAATTAGTTTAGTAAATATGGCATTATTTTTCACTGGGGGCTTGGAAAGCTGGCCTATCCTTTGAGATTATGTTTATCAGGTGGGTAAGTATTAATTTAACTAATGAGACTTATGAAGTAACAGTACATCAGGTTTAAGATAAAAAAAAACAGATCATGCTGATCTAAAATGCTCTGTGACCCTAATAAGATTCCTAGTTTATGCCCCCTCCTGATCCTGAATGACATTTGACCTGAAAATCTAATACAACTTTTAGGCACCACTCTCCACTTATTAATTTGTCTAACTTTGAGAAGGATCAAACAAAATCTTTTAAAGGTTTCCAGAATTTGACCTCTGGTGACCTTACAAGTCATGAACAAATTTCAGGCATCTCTTTCTACTTACTAATTTAGCCAACTTTGATAAAGATCAGACTTGCACTTAGAGAACAATCTTGATAATAGATTAGCACAAAGGATCACATATAAAGTGTAATAAACTTAAAATAAGACCCAAAATTTGAGTGCTTTCGAATAGTTGACTATTCTTCTTCAGGAGAACAAAGGCAACAAGTGCTTTATAAGATTTCTAGCTTTTGCCCTCTCTTAACCCCAAATGACCTTTGACCTGAAAATTTTATAAAACTTTTATGCACCTCCATCCATTTATTACTTTAACTTTGAGAACAATCAGGCAAAATCCCTGGGAAGAGCAGAAAATTAAAGGCCTAATTTATCACAACAAAATTCAACCCCAAGATTTCTGCTTACTTGACCAAAATTTATGAAAATCGGTTACATGGTCTCCAAATAGCAGCCATTTGAAAATCTTGAGGGACAGACAGACAGATAGAAAGACACACTGCCATGACATAAGGTCAACATTCTATTTCCAAACAATACTACTTCTACTAGTATTTTTTTTCATTATTTCTATCACAGGCTAGTGCTGATAAACAGTAAACTAGGCCTACACTACAGTAAGCACATGGTCATAACCTATAAATCACGTATCACACATTGCACTGTGCAACTCACTACTTGTAATTCAGTAACATTAACCATATCTAGCTAATGTAACATTTTGTAGTACAATGCCATCTCAGCACAGTTGCAGATTCATTCTTTGGAAGATCTTCCTTCACCTATAATCTTCTTCAATTCAGCAGGAAATGATGTTGTAGCTGGATATTCTGCAAACCATTGCTCTCCTATTATAGTAATTTGCAAATGCTGTGCCAGTTCTATAATCTTGCTAACCATCCTTTGCTGGCTTTAAACTGTAGTGGGACTCTAGTATTTTCATTCATTTGCTGGCAAAACTTCTTAACCTGAGCTTGAATAACAGGACCAAATATGGACATGCCATTTGGTTCTCTACTCGGTGAACCACGTACATAGTTTTGTTGAGAGGAGTGTTGTCAGGATTTGGGGTTTTCTTTCTTACTTAGCTACCTTCATACATCTCGATCAACACCCTTCTCAACTTCTCTTCATTTTAAGTCACCCACTAAACAATGATTCAGCAAACCCTATTTTCTTCTTAAAGGATGCTTGAGTAGTGCCTTCCTTGATAAGGTCAACAAATTTCAACTTCTTAGCAACAATGGCATAATACCTTCTCTTTTCTGATTCAGAAGATGTAATTTGGCATCAATCATTGTATGGACATCACTACAAGAAAAGATGACCCTATCCTAAATTTGACCCATATTTATACAGAGAAAAACAACGTTCAGTACTTCCTGAGAGCTTCTACTTCTAACCTTTTCACAATGTATTTCCAACATTTATCTTACTGTTAGTGGCTGAAGTATAAACCTGCCAATCATAAAGCAATGAATCACTGCTCTTGCTATTATTGTTTACATGACATCATAATACGATACTTTCTATAACAAATAAGCTCATGTAGTGCAATCACCAGAACTTTCCCACAGAGTTTTTCATAATTCTAGCTCCAAGTACATAGTGGGAGAGGATTGTAAGCAAATGTTTATGATATGGCTCTGTATAAAGCCTGGGTGGATCCAATAAACTTGATACGTATTTAGATGTTAGTTATCTTCTCTAGGTGGTCAGTATTTAACTGTTTTATAGGTACAAAGTGTGCAAGTGCTTAAGAACAGTAGTGCAATATTTAATTCATTATTGTTTTATAGTGTTGATTTAATCACCTATAAAAAATTGATGTAATCAATAGTTTGTAAGCTATTTATTTATGTATATATATTATTAGTATATACTCACGAGTGATTAATTTTCAATTACTTTTCTTAGAATATAAAGAATTTATAGAAAAACAATGATTTATAGTACTTATATTTTCATATAAAGTGTGACCTAAAATTAAAACGTTTGACAAATTTCAATTTTATTGAATTACTTGTTGGGTGATAATGAGAATTATCAAGCAGAAGTTCTTTATTTGTGAAGTTTCTATACTTCAATAATGTCCAATACATTGCAAAAAAGACTAGAAATACATTCTGAAAGGATAAATTTCAGGGTCCAAGAAAGACCCAAGTTATTCCAAGTTCCATGCTATAGAAGACCATATTACAGTAGGTCCTCAATGTACTACCACAAAGCATCAACAGGCCTTTGTATTAAGAACTTTCATAAGTTTTCATAGAATAAAAGCCACTGACTTGCTATTTCAACCGACCAGTGGCAGTCGCTGCTACAGAAAAGCTATTTACATCAACAATTTAATTTTCTTGCCTGAATAACCCCAATATTTCATGTGATTTGTCACAAAATGACTACTTTAGTTATCATGAGCCGATTGATACTAGTAGCAATAGCAGGGAAGAATATCAATATATACACATTGTGACAGCATTTTTTCTTTTCTGAAATTTAAAACTAGTCCAAATCACCTTAAAGAGAAAGTATCTCAAGAGATTTGTAGCAGCTTGCAAACTATATGCAATCAGCCTGTTCTGTAGTTTAATTTAATGTTGTCTGTGTTATCAGTATTACCATGGTTTTAACTGCCACCTTCTTATCAATGTCAACGGCCACTTCATTGAATAATTTCAGAAATGTGGGAAATGAGTTTAGATGTGGCTGGTTTCTTTGTTGCATTGTTGGGTGAGCTCAGTAGGCCAAATGGCCTTACCACACTTTTTCTTTCAAATGATGTACAGAGAATAATATTAAATAACTCATTAATACCACTAGAAAGTTAATAACTTAGTACTATAAGTTAAACTAAAGTAGTAATACAAAGGACTCTAACTTAAAAGTACAAAGAGGGAAAGTAAACAATATCAATATCATGACATGATCCTCAAACCGAATAATATTAATTACTAATAAGAATAATTAATAGTGTACAAATATTGTTCTCTTTTAGTTTTACATTTAAACAAGCCTACGCCTAGAATTAGTACTACTACTAATAGTACTTTTATTAGTAGTACTAACAACTTACATAATGTATTTACAATTTTCATACTGAATAACATGACCCTACGTCTAACATGGATTCTAACCTCTATCATGAACTAACAATTCAGATTAAAACTTAATCTAAGTTCTAATACTAGTAGTTCAACTAACTTCAAGTCCCAGACATCGAACTGCACTCTGAAAACCAAGTGTTGAGTGCTGCCGTTACTGTTAGGCCTATTGAATTTTAGTTATAGTACATTATTTATTTTTAATTATACACTATATTTTACGGTTATAAAAAAATTAAAGCATTATAAAAAACTATTCTATTTTCTAATTATAACAATATGTCACCTACACAAGCCTTTTAAGTTTGCTTAAGTCAACTGCGTTCTAATTCGGTTATACTGTAGAAATATAATTATACTGTAAAGCACCATGCACAAATGAAATCGTCGTGCTTCTCGGTTACGCTGTCGCAATAGATTTGCTGTCATCTACTTGAAGTGGAGAAACTAATGCCTCAAAAAGAGAGTGATATTAAACAGAATATAATTTGCTCTTTTATGTGACACAGGGGAGTATCTACGGAAAATAGCGCCTATGGCAAGCACTGTCCAAACATCTGACACCCACCTTTTGGATAACTTTACCATAATATCAGCTCAAAGATACAAGTCAAGCTCGTTAATCTTTTAATTAACAAATTATGGCACTACATGAAAATTACAACTGCACCTTCCTTGCTATCACTGATGTAAATTGGTCTATGATATGCTCAAAGTCAGTTTTTTTAGTTTCGTCTCTTTCTACACTCAGTAGAGCAAGATCACAGAGTTTGCCTTGACCCATGGAGGCTCTCAAATACGAAAGTATTAGTTTGAACTTGCTGAATGATCTCTCACAGCTGGCGATGGAAACTGCGATGGTTAGCATTATCTGAATAGCAATGCTCTCATCTCCATACTGTACAATAAATTCGAGAAGCTCTTCAGGTCTTGGTATTTTCATCTTGGTCCGACTTGATAGCAACATTCTGCAATCTAAAATTTCTTCATATAGCTGCTGTCCATCAATATCAGAGCTGTGCAATTCGCCCAAATTTTCGCACTTCTTCTTTAGGTCGTTACTATCGCAACACAGTCCCTCGACATCGAGAAGGAACCCAAACTTGGCGTCAATGTCGTGCAAACGAGCGAACATTTCGTCCATTTCTCTGTGAAGTTGGTCGAGTGTTCGCTTCATTACTCTTTCCATTTCCTCCTTGGCTGTTAACCCAGGGTCTCTCGAGTTCTCATCAGCCATTCGTTTCTTTCGTCTCTGACGTCTTTCAACTTCAATATCCCATTCTTGACAGGAACCGAGTCCTTCTTCGAGTGACTCACTGACCAACACTTCTCTTTCATCATCAAAATGATCTCGGAGGCTTTCAAATCCAGTGCAGTATCGTGGAAGTTCATGCTAGGATCCTGCAGCCTCTTTTGAATACGGTCAATGTGAATGAGTACTTTGTTCCAAAATCCTAGCAAAGTCAGAAAATCGTAACTCAACATGCGGTTATACAGCTGCCTTGCGTCACTTCTTGTGTCACTGGTCTCGTTCATGGTTGTGTCCATGTTCTGGAGAACTTGAAGTATATCCTCAAGGTACTTGTTGACCGGCTTCACTGCTTCTGTCCTTGCACTCCACCTGGTTTCGGACTGCGAATTAACAACCACAGGCACGGCGTTTTTGAGTTTTTCCCAGCGCTATATTGAAGAACACATAGAGAGCTTCGATGATCCTAAAAAACGTGACCATCATTGTATGCTGCTTGGCTGCATGTACACCCATCAAGTCGAGTGATTGATTGTCGCAATTCACAAACACTGTCAGGTTGTTTTTCTTTGATGAACATCACTTCTGTGTCCAGCCATCACAGCAGCGTTGTCATAGCACTGTGACCGACAATCTTTTAGCTCCATTTCGTCCTTCTCTAGCTGTTTCAAGAGGTCTTCAACTAAGCTCTCAGCATCCTTCTGTCTTATTTAGATAAAACCAAGGAAGGACTCTCTAACACGGACTGTTTTCCTCTAAAAATCAGCTTCCATGTACCTCACTACTTCTGACATCTGCTCACGGTGTGCCTGATCAGGAGTCGAGTCGAGCATGAGACCATAGTACTTGGCTTTACGAATGCTTCTCAGTAAACTCTGGTGAACAGTGGATGCTATCATGTGGATGAATTCGTTCTGGACACCCGGTGAAAGATAAGACGTGGATTCAGGATGACTTTCCACACGAGTGACGGGTTCTTTCATGACAGGGCCAAAGATGGTTAGTAGTTTCAGTAAGCCAAGGAAATTTCCCACATTGGAGTCATCGTCTAGCTCAAGTGACTCCCTGTGTCTTCGCAAAGCCAGGTTCTGAGTCACAAGGAATTTTATGCAGTGAAGGATTCTCGTAAAGATATCACGTCACTTCTTCTTTTCCTTCTCAATCTGTGACTGAAGTTCCGCGTCAATAACTCCTCTGTTTTCAGCTGAACTTCTTTCAATTTCTTTCCACTGTGTGAAGCACTCCCAATGATTCTTAGTATTTTCATGAACACTAACCCTTTCATGTGCTTTCCACTGGTTGAATCCACTTTCCTGCTCCAATGAGGATTGATGGTCTGACTTCTTGGCTTCCTCTGCCTCCAACTTTCGTCTCTTCAGTCCTTCAGCTCCACTTTCCTTCTTCTTCGTGAAGAAACGTTTCATGGTCTTCTTACACAATGCTCTGAAATAAGAAAATGGCACTTTTAATAAAAACATTAAATTTCATAGATTTTGCACAAAATTCTGGACTACCACCTTAGTTTGCGCAGGAGAATGGTCTTACTGCCAGTTGGCACTGAGCAGTGGCACTATGAGGTATGTGGTCATGTTGCTCCCAGCACTGTATTTTTACCTAATAATTTATATAAGCGGTTTAACAATCCAGCCATTCTAGTGCTTCTCACCCTTGATAATCAAAGACAAATCATACATCTGAAGAAAATTCTTTTTCACTATTCGAGGATGGCTTGTCTGACTTTAATAGAAACTGCTCAGTGGCGCCCCCTTCAAGTGGCGCCCAGGGTACGTGCCATGCCTTAGGTACGCCACTGATGCGACAGCCTATGATCATGAACAAAAGCAGTTTTTAGTGAAATAATTAGATAATGCTAGAAGATGTTTAATACTAAATATTGTTTTAAGTTATATTTTTAATGTTTTAAATCAATACACACGGTAGTTGTCGTGCAGCCAAAACAACCTGCTGTAGGACACACTGTGTGTTATTAACAGGAGTGATAGGTTAGACATTTTCCATCTTCTGTATCTCGGACTGTTGTAATCCAAACTATCACATCTTTTCAGTGGATTGTGCTCTACTGGACCCTTACTTCACATACCAAATTTCAAGGCAATCCATTAAGAAATACACAAGATTGATTTTTTTCCTATTTTATTTTCTGCACACCGAAAGTACGGAAGCTTTATTTGATAGAAAAACATACTTAACTTTGCGTTTAGCGTCACGTGATATTAGCTTAAGCAATTAGCGTAAATAATGATGCTTAATACGGCTGTACCGAGTGCATACGGGTGATGACAGTAAACTGTTAATCTAGATTCAATGGCATTACTATAAGGGAAGCTAATAACAATGTTTTAGATAGAAAAAACTACAACCATATATTTTAAAGAATATGGGTGGTTCTGTAAAGTCTGTTCCGAATAATAGGGTTGGGATCTTAATGCTAATGTTGGTTAATATCGTGTGTCACTTTCTTACTTTCTCTGTTTTGTTGGTATGTATTGACAAAAAGTCATGACATCTAATCAAATACACCTTAGATGTGAAAAAAGGTGCAGCCAAAAAAAGATCGACTATACGACCTAAAGGAATGAAATCAAAATTGGCAGCCAAACTGGTAGTTATACTTATCGCATTGATAAGAATTTTACAGTAAATTTTCATTCATTAGTTAGCTAGGCTGCTATTTTGTTTTACCCATCATGCCCAAAGATAAACAAAAACTATGGTTTTGGCTAAATAATGAATGAACATTTTCTTTAAAATTCTTATCAATGCTATAAGTTTGGCTGCCAATTTTGATTTCATTCCTTCAAGTAGCACACTCAATAATTTTTTGTTTGCTGCACCTTTTTTCACACCTAAGGTGATTTTGATTAGATTAGATGTTAGCTAAAGGACAGATGAAGTTATGATCTACTAAGTACGATTAAGACCTAAACGAACTCATTGTTTTGTAAATACGAGTAGCCCCTCAGTGACACAACAGTAAGTTTCAAGAATTATGATGCTAACATCTGGGTTTCGATACTCATGGTGGGCACAGTACAGATAGCCCATTCTGGAGTTTTGTGGTTAATTTACAAACAAACAAGTATGACTAAGCAGTTAGTAGCAATCCAGTACGTTTTTAGTTGGTAGAGTGCCAGTCACTTAGTGAAGTATTCGGATCAGTGTTAGTTATCATGGTATATACAGTTAATCGATCGATCAACTGTGAAATTGTGCAAGTAATTATATTTGTACATTAGTGGTAGCAACGTTAATACGAAAATATCTAGTCAAAAAAGAATACAGTAGCTGTGAAATAGGTTATTTTTCCTTAATGTTTGCTATCATTATGAAGACTAGTCTTCACATTGTTTTTCACAAAGTAATATAAAAGAATTCACTCCATGAAAAAAAAAAAACATGACAACAACTGTTGTCGTAAATGGGATTATTGTGGTAAAAATTAACTAGAACTTAACTGATCTTCAAATCACGGTTTCAAGATGACATTATACATAATAAAAGCAATGAAAAGAAGAACAAACTAAGCAAGACAGAAACTTAGGAGAATGAGACAGAAAATTAGAAGAATGAGACAGGAAATCAGATGAAAAATGTAATATTTAAAGAAGAATTAAAAAATAACTAGTTGAAGACAATGTCAATGAAGCTATTGGAGATGTATAGAGAGATTGCAACAATAAGATTGTAGTAGTACACAGAGACTGTTATGACAAAACGGAAGGAGTACAAAAAGAAATCAAGACATAATAAATCATCTGGAAAACGAATTGGTGGATGCTTATATCAAACCAGCCACACTCCTTTCTATACCTGCTCAACAATTCCAACCTAAAACACCATCTACTATAAAATATGGAATAGGATAACTTATTTTGTCTTCGCCTATTAACACTCCTGTTGTGTCATCTGTTAGTGCAGGACCTTTCTCGACATATCACTTCCAAATCCAGTTGCAGAATGTAGCCAATTCAACAAGATTATCTGTTTTAGAAATCAGTAAATCATGATGGAATGGTACCACAGGAGACACACAGTTTTAAATCATTTCCAAAATGAAAAGGTGGAATAGTTAACAGAAAGTTACTTATTTTGCTACCAATTAAAAAGCAGTTTTGATGACATTATGTGATCTTCCAGACTCAAGTT